TGCTGGCCTCAAGCAATGGATGGAGAAGTTTTTTCTCCTCTTCAGTTTTTTTTGGGGGGAAGAACTTCTGTTGAACTGGTATCATTTTTTCCTTAAATGTTTGGTAGAATTCACCAGTGCAACCTTCTGGGCCTGGAGTTTTCTTCATGGAAAGGTTTTTAACTACAAATTCTGCCTAACTAATAGATACAGGGCTATTTAAGAGATCTGCTTCTTCCTATTTTGAGTTATATCTCAGATACCACAAAATTTACCCATTAAAAGGTACAGTTCAGAGGCTTCCCATAAACTCAGGAGCTGTGCGGCCCTCGGTGCAGTTTAATTCTGGAACATTCCCATGACCCCAAGGAGCCCGCCGCCCGGCGAAACCACAGGCCTGCCCTCTGTCTGTGGACTTGCCGCTCTGGGCACTCCGTCCAGGGTGGGGCAGAGGTCGGGGTGCAGTTCTGCGTACACCAAACAGAGTTTAGTCTTGTGTATTAATTATCGTATTTTCTAGGCAAGCAACTGTAAACCTACCTTTGCCCTCTGTATAAATTGATTTATAAGAGTCTTTTGTGACTAGCTTTTCATTTAGCATAATATTTTCTAATTTTATCTATGTTGTAGCATTCCTTTTTATTACCAAATATTTCACTGTGTGGGTATACCACATTTTATTTACCCATTTATTAGTTGACGGACGTTTAGATAGGTTGGTTCCACTTCTTGAGTATATTATGAATGATGCTGCTTTGAATGTCTGTGGAAGCTTTTGTGTGGACATGTTTTCAATTGTTTTGAGCATATACTAAAAATGGATCATTTGACCTCCAGCTCAGAGGACGCCGGTCTGGGTAACGCTGGTGAAGGCGCTCTCTCCTGTCTGTGGAAGCCTGGGGAGACTCCGTGCGGGGAGGGTGGGCTGGCTCCTCTTCCTCAGTCTTCTTGCTGACCAGGGAAAGTTCTGTGAAAGACGAGGCCAGACAGATTTACCGCTTTGCCTCTGCTTTTGTTGTTACGTTTTATTGATTGTGCCATTGCAGTTGTGCCAGATTTTCCCTTTGCCCCTCCCCCCTCCCCCACCAGCTGTCCCCACACCCATCCGTGTCCACGGGCCGCGCACGCACGGCCTCCCGCTGCTCTGCGCCCCGAGCTGCACTTGTGTCCCCACGACTGTCGGCTGTCGGGTAACAAGCCACTTGTGCTTCTGGGTCCCCTCGCCCCTCACCCGTCCCCACCCGCCCGCCGGCCACGCGTCCGCGGCCCTGTCTCCGGCCCGCCTGTGCTTTCACCTCGGCTGCCCGGCGCGGCTCCTCTCCCGCCTGGAGGTGCCTTGTGCGAGGGGAAGCTGCTTCCCGAGGGGGTGTCCGCGCCCCCGGGGCCCCGCCCGGGGGTGGCGGCTGGGAACGCGCAGTGCGGAGCCCGGGCCGGGGCCTGGGGCGCAGGGAGGGACGTGCGGACACAGTTCTGTGTTCACGTCCCTGTCACTCACCTTGACTTTCGCTGTGCGTTTTTGGGGAGAGCACTGAAAATGTCCATTTTCCCTGGAATTTCCCTGAGGATTTAAAACACAGCGAACGTGTCTGCAGCACTTGCCGTGTGGTGGGAAGCGAGCTGGGCAGTTTAAACGTGTTGTGTCTCCTTCAATTCTCATCCCTTTAAGTTGCTGGTATTGGCTCCATGTTTCAGGGGCGGAACCAGGCCTGCAGCACCCCACGTCCCCGCGTTTGAAATGTGCTGTGTCTTTTCTTACTTAACATGTTGGTGATCTCTTTGCATACGGTTAGCTCAGGGCAAGCACAACGTATAGCTAATTAAACACCGGGGCAAATTCGTTAGTATTAATGAGTCACCGCCTCTGCGTTTCAGCCCCTTACTGCCGCTCCCGGCACAGGGGCGGGCCGGCACGTATTTCCTTGTCTCCTCATATTTTTTAAAATACATACTCATTTCTAAAATATACACATTGACGTAATTTACATATTATAAAATCGACTCACTTCAAGCGTAAAATTTAATGACTTGATTCTGTTCACCGAGTTGTGCGACCGTCGCCGTCATCCAGCTACGGGACATCTCCGTCTCCCTGTGAGGTCCCTGTCTCTGCCCCGTAGGGCCAGGGGCGTCACAACCCCCCCCCCCCGGGCCACATCAGCCCCCGGGTTGCCCCGACAGGGCCAGATGTGACTTTCGGGCTGTATAGATGGAACTGCTCCTTAACCAGGGGTGAGGAGTCAGGGCGGGCCGGCTCGGCCTGCAGGCCCGAGTGGCCACTGGGCCGTGAGCGCCCATCGGTCTGCTTTGTCTCTGCAGAGTTGCCTTTTCTGGACATCTCACGTTTAGTCAAATGATACCTAGTCTTTTGTGTCTAACTTCTTCTACTGAGGTTCGTCCGTACTGTAGTAGGCATCATTGTCTTTTTTATTGTTGTATCACGTTCTGTTGTGCGAATGTGCCACACGTCGCGTGGTTATCAGCGGACGGCCATCGGGTCGTTTCCACTTCCCGGCTGGCGCGGACCCCGGGGAGGCCCGTGTGCAGCTCCCGTTCCTTTCGAGTACACGTGTTGGGGCGGACGTGGACTTGGGAACTGCCTCGGGTTCCCCGGGGCAGGAACCTCTCCCGGAGTTTTAGTATTGTCGAGGTGCGTGTTCTTCAGAGGGGATCGCCTAGCGCGACCCCCCGCCTAGTGTGACCCCCACCTAGCGCGACACAGTGGGCAGGGGCATCGCCTGGGAAACACTTGCGATGTAGTCTCGGGCGCTATGAACCTTTGTTCAGTCGGTGTGTACACTGTCCCCCTCCCCTTACTTGGAAAGAGTCTGATTTGCATCTTAATTCCCTGCCATTCCCATTGGTTCCGGAGGCCTCCCGTGCGCACTCAGACCGAACCCAGCAGTGCCACGCTCACTGGGACGAGTGTGCGCACTATTTGCAGTTGTGTGTGTCTTTACTGACTGTTTCTGGGGAGGGACAGAAGAGGAATGGTTTATAAACTCTCTTGAAAGTGGGCTGAAGAGCATGAGGAAAGTTTTTGGGGTGTCTGATGTGGTCTCCGTGAACCCTTTTTTCTAAGATTAACATGTCTTCATCCAAATAAAGTAAAAATGTCTCCCTAACAAAGTAGTGTTTCATTTTAGGAAACAAGTCTGATGTAACAAGAGAGGCTGCATGTTTTCACCAGAGAGCATGCTATAAAGTCACTACTAATGTTAAAAGCCACTTTCTACCAAGTATGAAAAATGAGTTGAAGGTCTGAAAATATTAAACTAGTGTAAATGCCTCTGTATGTCCAGCCTCTTTTCTACACCCAGTCTGGCTCTTCCTTTACCTGCCAAACTAAGAATACAGTTTATTTTATTTTAAAGATTTTATTTATTTATTGTTAAAGGGGAAGGGAGGGAAAAAGAGAGGGAGAGAAACATTCATGTGTGGCTGCCCCTCATGCTCCCCCTGCTGGGGACCTGGCTCTCAACCCAGGCATGTGTCCTGACTGGGAATTGAACCAGCGACCCTTTGGTTCAGCCACCGCTGCCCACCATCAACATCCCCAGGGGACAGGACACAGGTTTTTGAGGAGGGGATGTCACTGTTCAATGACGAAGTCAAAACCAGGACGTTAGCAACAGGGATCGGACTGGAGGAAACCCTGCTTCAAGGCCAGTGCCGACCCTGTGAGATCTCATCCCCTCTGGAGCGTCCCCACACCAGCTTCCTCAGTAGCACTTACGGGCACAGCCTTTAGAGCCGGTTTCCGTGTTTAAAAACAAAGACCAAAAAGCCGACGTAACCACGTCCAAGCTAGTCAAATTACTCAGTTGTTGGGGCCAGCTTCCTCATGGAAATGCAAGGAGGTTAACAGTCCTGCAGCTGTGCTTTAGAGAACTCGACAGGGTTGCTAAGCTTAAGTGGGGTAATATGTTGCAATGCCATGTCTGGCACATAGTAAATGTTCAGAAAATGCAAAACAGTAAAATGTAAAAGCAAACGAACGGTTTCCTGGGACGCTTGTGGACCAGAGATACATTCTGATGTGATAAACGGCCTCAGAACAGACTTTCCAATCAACCCTCGACAAAGTGGGCATTAGCAGCGAGGAAGCAGTTGTTTAGCCTCTAACCCCCCCCCCGCCCCGCCCCGCCCCGCCCAGAATAAAGTGGAGATGGTGTCTTCTTCAGCTCTGGCTTTCAGGCGTTACTAGGCAGGTGGAGACGAGCTGGCGCGCGTGGTGCTGTGTGAGCACACAGTGAACATGTGACATGCGTGGCAACAGAACCGCGTGCATATGGGAGGCGGCTACTTCTGCCTGCCTAGCCCGAGACGCTGGGGACTCGGGTTTGCTGTCCACACACATCCGGTCACTCTGAGTGATGTCCGTGCAGAGGGCAGTGGTGGCATTTTCCTCTCATATTCCGTTCTCAATATTTATCGTGTATGTGGTAGGTATGTTTCAAGTATACTTAGTGCACGTATGATGAATCAGGCAGATTTAGTTTTTAAACCATGATGAAGAGAATATTTATAGGGAAGTTTGTTAGATCATCCAATTCATTGATAAAACCTGAACACATTATATTTTGGAAAAAAATGAACAGATTGCATGAAATAGTTGTGTAACATTGCTGTGATAGTTTCTAAATACTTATGCCCTTTTCTGGGAGAAAGAGTTCATTTTAAAGTGAGGAAGGTAAGAACTGACTAGATCACATGTGTTTGCACACAGTGCCATTTTCGGTGGTGGTTATGTGGAGAAGCCTCAGGAGGGCGCCCTCCCACCCTCAGCCCCCTGCAGTGACCGCAGGGGCCCGCGGAGGTGGGGACGGCACAGTCACGGGCCTCAGGCCCGGGGCTGAGCTCCTCTTGGACTTGGGCCACCTCAGCAAGCAAACGCTGCCCCACGGACTCTCGGAGGCCAGCATTCGCATCCCAAGGTGCCCGAAACGATGACTGCTTTCAGTAGAAAAAGGAGGAAAACCGGAACTGCGCGCGTCCTACAAAAGCATGTTGGAGTCACACAGTGAAAAAGCAGATTTTTTTATTATGCTGTTTTTCCATATTTGGCATTGCTGTAAATGGCTAACTAACGTTTACTGCCAATCAGTACAAATGTGTGGTTTGGTAATACCAGAACAGCAAGTTTAAATGAAAGATAAAAGTTAAGCATTTCCACACAAGATTTGCAGTCTGACATTTCACTGTGTAGGTAAAAAGACTTTTTTTAAACTAGTGATTATTATTCAGCATGAATAAAAAACTACAACTTTTATTTTTAAACAGGAGTCACTGGTTTTAATTTTTACACATTTTAAAATTACTGTGATAAAAAATAATGAAAAAGCTTCTTAATAAAGCCATACACAGTATAATATAGATTTGCCCCCATTATATAGCATTTGTTTAATATACAAAATAGAATATTGACACACTTGAATCTAAATGTAGTTAAGCGAGTTATTTGAGGAGGATATTTTCATACTGCCTTTCATCCGAAAATAAAAACCCTCCTTTCAGGCATTTCCTAGAGAGAAGCCAGCCCTTGCCAGCAGCCCGGTGGCTCACCCTTTGGTGGACCAGGCCGCCCGACCGCAGCCCGGAAAACGACGGGACTTCCACTCAAGTGTCCTGCTCCCACTCCTCCTGTCCCTTCCAACTCTCACACCAGGCACACAGGAACACGCTCGTCCATCCACAGCTAGGGTCTTTAAATGGCCCACTGAGACCGAAGCCTCACCCAGGGCTGCCATGGCTCTTGAATGCTGGCAGACCACAGCGCAGGGACACTGTTCCTTCTGTGGGCATGCGGTCCGGGTCAGTGACAGCCGGCTGGCAGACATGAGGCACTGGAGCGGCCCCCCCCTTCCGAGTGAGGTGGGCCTTCCCTGAGGTGCACATCCAGAGGGAGTCCTTTGCTGTCACCAGACTCATCGTGGACCCGAGCCATGCTAGTTTTCCTTTCGGGGTGCAACTTTTTTCAGAGGGCGGGGGCTCTTTTAGGGTCCCTTCCCATAGTTTTACAATTGGGTCTGTATACACCCCAAGGGTCACTTTCCTACCAGCAATTAGAAAGACAGTTGAGGATGTGCTGTTGGGAGTCACCTAGGCACGTCACCAGCTCTCCCTGACGTTGCTACAAACTTAAATGGTTTGGGAAGGCAAGACGCCACACACATGGAAAATGAAGCTACTTCCAAATAACACCCTCTTTTTTTCACTTAAATCCATGATTATACGTAGATGAACAACATAATTAATTAGGACAACTTCTTTCCCACATATTCAAAAAGGGCACAACTTCCTCTGCCACAGCCTCCTATAGTTTTATGAATGTCAGTTGATTTCAACAACAAAGTGCACACACCTGTCTTTCACTGACCTCTACTTTTTTTAAAGAGCTGAGGATGTTGGGACTATGTATGATTAATGTGCGATGTGCTTTCTGGTTTTAAGCATTTAACATTCTATAAATGAACAATAATTTACCTTTCAGAAGATTTTTTTGAAAATTAACACTGTCATTGATAATAATATTCAAGCGATATTAGGCACCAAAAATTTCACATCCAGCTGGGTTACAAACCATCTTAAATTACTTTGAGATCAATTTAAACAATTACAAAACAACATTCCCTTTTAGATAGCATTCAAAAAGCAAATTATTACATTTTTATTAAATAATTTCTCCAAAATACTGAAAAATAACAAATAACATTCAAATAGCATTCAAAGAAAACATAAATGTCATGGGGGGGGAATGAACTCTTGTAGGATAGAAAGGAATTAGTGTATTATTGGCAACCTATGAGATTCTGCACTATTTACATATTGCTGGTACCTCTATGCGCATTATTGCCAAACTTTTAAAGCCTCTGCTTTTGTTGACCTGTGGGAGAGGCTGCGTGGGAAAGCAGCCCTGAGCCCTGTGTCAGCACCGCCCACCTCCGCCCACCTCTGCCCACCTCCGCGCTCTGGAGAGGCGGCCAGCGACACTGCGGCCAGGCTCTGTTGGAATGAGAAAGGTGGTCATGCAGGAGGCAGAGGACCGTGCCCTCTGTGGCGGGCACGGCCGGAGCTTCGGCAACCTTCCCTGCACACAGGCCAGTCTGCTCGCCCCTCTTCCCCTAGAGCAAACCTGCTTGGTTTCTGAGACCATTGCCACCTGTGCGAACGCTTGCACTCACCATAAATCATATAGGTTATCCATCAACATTTCTCTGAGCCCTACAAAAAATATAGAACATGTCGTGATAAAACAATCTCATCTAAAAATCATTCTTATTTTACACTATATAAGCTATTTTACAATCATTTTAATAAATTGCATGTAAAGCTGCAGTAGCCCTTCCCTTCCCAGATTAGTGAATACCAATATGATATATATCTGAAACTATAACTAAATATAAAAATATATTAGAAGTTTCATATTTTTAATATTAGATTTTGTTTTCTATTACACAAATAATTTGGCCACTTTGAATAGAAATCAAATTTCTTACGGCTTAGGAAATATAAGTTTTGTGTTTACAGAAAGTTGGTAAGGTGCACACAGAAAGGGCTACTACAGCTTCTATTTCCTTTAAAATGGTGATTCTCAACAGTGAGGAGGAAAAATTTACAAGACTTTTGTTAGACTCTGTGGCACATACAGGGCTGTGAGGGATGTGCAGGTTCACAGACGTGAAGTCTGATGCACAGGCTAAATCACACATCAGTAGCTGAGCTTTCCTGTACCACCAGGAAAGATGGACCAACTGGTGACAGAGGGGAATGTGAAAATGGGTGTCTAGCCACGTTTGCCATATTAAGATATTGATTGGGGGTCAAGTTTAGTGAGAGCAATTATTTGGTCTGATTAAAATTTCTCAGCTTTGTTTCAGCTGGTTATCTAGAGTCGTAACTTTTAAGAACTCACACAAACTACCACAAAAGGTCCTGAAGGACAGCGCACTAGCTTTCTTGCCATCTAACCATTGCAGGGACAGGGCAGTGGGGACAGACAGGGCCTCTTGGTAGTTATTTGTTTGCTTGTTTGTTTTAACTACTCTTTTACAACCATCATCCACAGTTTACCCAGCAGGTCACTGGACTAGGTAGGTGCTTTCTACCAGTTAGAACGGTTAATCTGCACAACCTATATAATTCTCCACTGAAGCAGATATATACAAAATATGAACTTTTTTTGACAAGAATACTGGAGATTTGAGTCAATTTTTGTGGTCTTCTGACAGCTAAATGCCATCAGGTTAGAAGCACCAACCCATTTTCACACAGGAGATAAATGTTCAGAGTTGATGAGGAAAGCTACGAACTAGCTGCCCATCTTAAGCAGTTGTACAAGAACTTGGATACAAAAATTATGTAAGAAAAAATGAGCAAGTGTAGTTCACTGAATATAAAGGAAATTGTTAAAACCAGACAATAATAGCTATAAAAGGCACAACTTCCCTTTTCTGATATACACTTGTAAACTTTTTTTCAGGTTTCCATGCATAAATCAAAAATGTTATGTTAACTATACAGGGCAAAATACACCAGTAACAAGTCTAGAAAATTCTGTCCAGCCAACTGTGGAAACTAGGAGCAGAGAGTGCACTGTGCAGACTGGGGCACGGGTGGTCTGGCTGCCGTCCTCCTCTGACACTGGAGACCACCCCACATCACTGCTCTGATTTCTGGGGCCCACCACCGTCACCTTCCACTTCTCCCGTCCCTGGAAGTGATGGCGCAACTGCTGTGTGGCCACGCCTTGGCCCTCTATAAACCACGTGTAGTGCGTACTGACAACAAAACAGAACAGGAACCAGACATACACAAAAAAGGAAAAATAAAACAGAACTGCTCTAGGACAAACTGATAGTTTGTACAATAAAAGCTATAAAGTCAACTTTCTTTAAGGCAACCTTTCTTATTAAGGCAGTCACTTTTGATGAAACAGAAGTTTTTTGACATTTCCACTTGAATATTTTGGTAACTGATTGGAGATGATTTCAGCTAACATCTCTGGGAATTCAATATTCATGCTCTTATCCAAAAATGTTTGGAAGCAGTAGTGAAGGAGATGTTCAGCCACCTACAAAGAGAAGACAGAGGAACGATCGGTCTCAGAAACTTAGCAGCAGGCACACTCATGCCTGTTGGTCTCTATTTTCTTTTTAAATATATGACCTAGATAGAATATACCAATTTCTGCTGAAATTTCCCAAATTAAAAATAAAAGTTTAAATAAAATGAACACTCAGGTACTAAAGACATCTTGAACCCCTTAATTGTACACAGAATTATATGAAATTGTGTTTTGTGATGAACTGTAATACTATAATACATGAGACATATTTAATAGCTTAGTCAAGTAAAGCCAGGGGATTCTGCATTTTAAAAATTAGTGCTGTTAAATTCTCTGTCAGCATCATGATGTTATGTGCATGTGACCACATGACATTAAATTGCACCACTGGCCTTAGGTAAAGTGTGTGCCCAACTGAAGTCACAACTTGAACTCCAACCATCATCAATATCCACAAGTGGGGAAAAGGTATTGGTGTACAATTATATACACTAATTAGAGCATACTTGATGTCCCAGAAAATGCCTCTGATGTTTGGATTTGTGTCTAACACTTACGTCATGCATGGAGTCCAGGAGTTTTGTCAGCTGGTAGAACCGCTGCCAGTTCTGACTGGAGCTGCCTTCTCTCTGGACAATGGCTTTCCCCAGCTCTTTGATGTAGGTCATCCTGATCTCATCGAACAGCTCCTGGCTCTTCAACCCTTCCTTAGGAACTGAAAGATCAAGATGCAGTAGATTAAATCGTGACCACTGTTCCTATGCTCAGAGTGTGGCAGGTATTGATAGCATGCTTCATGACTTCACAGTGTTGGTATGATTTCAGTGCACTCTATTAAAATGTAAGTATTTCAAAGGACCGTGAAACTACAGCCAAGAAACTAAGAGTCAGAGGAAACTGGAGGACTTAACCTTGGGTAAGTTGCCTCGTTCTGCGTCTGTGACATGGCACTGGTGGTGCACCTTCCTCTCCACAAGGCTGCCGTGAGGACCAGATACTGGTACGCAACACGGCGGCTGCCATTCTGCCCTTCTGTTTCGCTCTAGTGCAGACGCGTGGAAAGTTTCAACAAGTTTCATTCCACCAGTTACATTCTGGAGTGGCTGTGATGCCACCAGTCACTTACAACCTTAAAATCAGTATGCAATACTTTTTATCAATCAATGCATTAACATACTGAACTGATATGATTCCAATCTAAAATGTGATTTTTTTATGTGGCCTATATATATGCCTCCTAGGAAGGAAATAATCTGCCTTCCTTTCTGTACTCAAATATAGTAAACACCTCATGAACTATGGATCATAAAATTGGTGTAAAATCAATTTTAATATTATTCTTAAAAGACAGTTACTAGTAAAGATTGTGAGTGGAGCATTAATCGTGGTTTCACTTACCTTTATAGAGATGGTGACTTTTGTGGAGTGCTACACTTCTGAAAGTGCACTCCTGGGAACTCTGGTTCTGTGTTAATGGCCAGGGAGACGACGTGATGGTCCCAATATAAGCAAAGCTAAATGTTCAATACAGAGTGAGGCGTATTCCTGGATATCAGACCTTCTCAGAGCTGTAATTACGCAGTCTCTGGGTAGGAGAATGTATTTTTCCCTAAACTTCACTGCTGCTGACTTCTTAGGAAATGCTGGACGTAGGAGCAAGAAGTCGTAATGTAATTCTCACTTGCCCTGTGGACATGTTTCCCATTCTTTCTCACTAGATTAATTTTTTTGATTTTCAAAAATTTAGATATAATTAATGATATTATAAGTCTCAGGTGTATGACATGATTACATATTTGTATATGTCACAGACTGATCACTGCAGTAAGTCTAGTTAACATCCATCACTATGTATTGCTATAAAAATTTTTCTTTGTGATGAAAATTTTGAAAATTGTCTTAGCAACTTTCAAATATATAGTATGTTATTATTAGCTGCAGCCCACACGTTATACATTATACCCCAGTGACATTCATTTTATAGCTGAAAGTTTGCACTTTTTAACCCACTTCACCCATTTTCCCACCCTCTGCCTCTGGCATCCAACAGTGTGTTCCCTGTGCCCATGAGCTCATTTTGCTTGTTCGGCCTGACATACGAGTGAGGTCATGCAGTGTCTTTCTCTGACTGGCTTGTTTCACTGAGCATAATGTTCCCCAGGTCCATCCACGCATCACAAAGGGTAAGGTTTCTTTTTATGGCTGAATAACATCCCACAGGATATAAACACCTCTTTCACACTGTCTTTACCCACGTATCCATCGATGGACACTTAGGCTGCTTCCATATCTCGCCCACTGTAAATGATTTGTCAATGAGGGTGCACATATCTTTTCCAGTTAAATGTTTTGTTTGTTTTCTTTGGAGAGAGGTTTTGTTTTCTTTGGAGAGATACCCAAAAGTGAAATTGCAGGATTATATAGTAGTTCTATTTTTAATTTGTTGAGGAATCTCCATACTGTTTTCCACAGTGGCTGCACCAATTTATATACCCGCCAACAGTGCAAGAATTCCCCTTTCCCCCACATCCACACCAGCACTTGTTATTGTCTTTTTGATGACAGCCATTCTAACAGGTGTGAAGTGTTAATCTCACTGTGGTTTTGATTTGCAGTTCCCTGATGATTAATGATGTTGAGTACCTTTACATGTACTTGTTGGCTATTCTGTATGTCTTCTTCAGAAAAATGTCTATTCAGATCTTCTGCCCACTTTTTAATTGGATTGTTTATTTTTTGGCTACTGAGTTGTATGAGTTCTTTATACCTTGGGTTGGCCAAAAAGCCCGTATGGCTTTTTCCATAAGATAAACACATTTTCATTTTTATCAATAACTTTATCGATCTGGCTCTCTCCCACGTGGTGTAATGCTGATTGTTCTCAATGTCTCAGTTTGGTTGCTACCAACTTCAGTTGGTCCACTGGACCATGGGGTGTGTCCAGTGATGCATCTCTGGCATGAAAGTTTACAAACCACTTTTGACACATTCGATCGGTCACAGCACCTTCTCCGCATGTGGCACAAATCTTTTTTTGCACTTCAGTTGCATTTTTACCTTTCTTGAAATATTATGCTTTATTTTCTCCCATCTTCAATGAAGTTAAAGACAACTAAGTATTACTAGAGCCACCTTGCGGGGAAAACTGAATGGACTTTTTGGCCAACCCAGTATTTTTGGATATTAACCCCTTATTAGATATATGATTTGCATTTGGTACATTGCCTTTTAGCTTTTTGGTGATTTCCTTTACTGTGCAGATGCTTTTAGTTTGATGTAGTCCCACTTGTTTATTTTTGCTTTTTGTGTCAGATCCAAAAAAGCCGTCACCAAGATTGAGGTTGAGGAGCTTATCACCTATGTTTTATCATTTCAGGTCTTAACATTCAAGTCTTTGATCCATTTTAAGTTAAAATTGTTATGTGATATAAGACAGTGGTCCAGCTTCTTTCTTTCTTTTTGTATATGGCTATTCAGTTTCTCTAACACCATTTATTGAAGAGACTGTGCTTTTTTTTTGCCACCATATATTGGCTACTTTGTCATAAATTAACATTTTAATATAACTAACATAAATTAACATAAATTAATATGAATTCTTCCAATGCACAAGCACGAAACACCCTTTCACCGCATCTTCTGGTTGGTTTTGTCAATGTCTTACAGTTTTCAGTGTATACAGGTCTCTTTCACTTCACTGGTGAAATTTATTCCTAGGTATCTCGTTCTTTTTTTTTAATTTCAATATATTTTTTTATTTTTAGAGGGGAAGGGAGGAAGAGAGGGAGAGAAACATCAATGTGTGGTTGCCTCTCACACCCCCCCAACTGGGGACCTGGCCTGCAACCCAGGCATGTGCCCTGACAGGGAATCCATCCAACGACCCTTTGGTTGGCAGTCTAGCACTCAATCCACTGAGCCACACCCGCCAGGGTGCTATCTTACTCTTTTTGATGCAATTGTAAGTAGAATGGTTTTCCAAATTTCCCTTTCTATTAATTATCACTGTATAGAACTGTGACAGATTTTTGTATACTGATTTTTGTATCCTGCAACTTCACTGAATTTGTTTATCAGTTCTGACAGTTTTTTGGTGGAGACTTTAGGGCTTTCTATATATAATACCATGTCATCTACAAATAGTGAGAGTTTTACCTCCTCCTTTTTGATTAAGATGCCCTTTCTTTTTCTCACAATTATCTCTGGCTAGGACTTCCAATACTATGTTAAATAAAAGTGGCAAGGCTGGGCATCATTGCCTTGTTCCTGATCTTAGAGAAAAAGCTTTCGGATTTTCACCACTCAGTATGGAAGTTAGCTGTGGGCTGTCATATTTGGCCTTTATTATGTTGATATATATTCTATTACTACTTTGTTGAGAGTTTTTAATCATAATTAGATACTGAATTTTGTTAAATGCTTTTTATGCATCTATTGAGAATATGATTTTTATCTTTCAATTTATTAATGTAGTGTATCATTCTCACTGGATTTTGATTAAGATTAGACCAGAAAAGACACAGGGAAATGTTTTGATTCCGTAAAGCAATACTTGGCACTTCTAACATGTCAGTGTGAATGCGAAAATGAGGACTGCTTAATCAGGAGAAGTAAGACCCCACCATGTAAGTGACGTATTGGTCACTTGACACATATATTACAGATAATCTACTTATTGATGATTTTCAAGACAGTGTTTGCTTATTTATATACTTTTTCCTGCTTGTTACCCTAATTCTAAAAATAATTATGGAAGAAGCCCTTTTTGATACTTAAAAGAATTCTATCCACCCAAAATTATCTTCATAGTTCCATGAATTTTTGCTTTATGTTTTTGGAGGCTATACATTTAGAAATGTTTTCCTGGTGAGTAGAATGCTTTATGTAATGAGTATTTTTAAAAATATAACTTTATTTTTTACTTTACAGTTTATTTTGATAATAACATAACTGCTTCAGCTTTCTTTTGGTCAAAGCAGTGGTCAGCAAACTACGGCTCGCAGTCCAGTCCCATGCGCAGCCCGTGTTGGTAAATGGTGCTTCACTGGAAGACGGCCATGCCTGCTCTGTAAGTATCGTTGGGGACTGTGTTCGTGCCACGAGGGGCAGAGCTGAGTGTAGCTGTACCAGGGAATGTATGCAGAGCCAAAAACATTTACCATCTGGACTGTTATGAACATGTTTGCCATTACTGGGTTATACCACGCATAGTATATCCTTTTACCCTGGGCATATGCCTGGGTCTCTTGTGATGCTGCTGATATATTTGAAGTTAATTGTACCACCTATTGCCTCCTCTTATGATGCTTTTTGTTTATCCTTTGCCCCCTCCTCACATCTCACTCTTTTGGATTGTTTTTTTCACCATGTCATTCTCTCTTCCTTAATGGTTTGCTGTGTTATATACACTTTCTGTTTCTAGTTGTCATCAACACTCATTCTTAATTTACCAAATTCATTTTTTTTCTTACATGTAATTATTGTGTGCTTCAGTTTTATTTTTAACCCTCCAAAGAGATTATTGTTATTTTATACATAAATGTTAGGTTAGATGTGTCTACATGTGTATCCCCTTTGTTCTCTTATCTCCTTAAAGATATGATTATTTTCCCTTAGCCTAGAAATGATATATCTTTTAAAAAAGATTTGATTTATTTTTAGAGAGAGTGGAAGTGAGGGGAAAAAACATCAATGTGTGGTTGCCTCTCGTACACC